GTTGCGGACCCTGATATATAACATTGGATCACAATTTATTGCAGTGACTGGAGCTGACAGCTCATTCTACTGGTCAGTGTGGGTTGCTCTATTTCCCTGGCTGTCAACTATAGTGAGCCGTTACTTCATACTGTAAGGTCAACAGTCTGCTTTACATTCATGTTGTAGAGAACTGTATTTAGATTGTGCAAAATGGCTAGGAGATCACACTGGTAATCATGGGATCACATATAGATGAAATCAGCATGTGGTCTTTTGGGGACATTGGAGTCTTTGTAGTCCATGGAAATTTAAATAGTTTGTGCCCATCACTCCATGCACAGCAAGTTAAACATAGCAGGTAGAACCCATTCACACCACTGAGGTCTTTGCGGTGCGTTTAATGTGTGTTATGTCACTGGTTAACTTTTGTTGTGTTAAGGCAGCCCAGCTGCATGGATGTAGCATGGATGTAACCTCCGACACTCTGAGGTGGTTATAAATATATAAGCACTGTAATACAGTACAAGTGATAGTGGGTAGTGAAATTGGGGCACGCTGACTTATCTGTGAGCACATTACATGCTATGTTTTGCCTTACATAGGGTGATGGCAGGGTTCCTCTTTATTCCAGCTTCATACAGTCAGCTCTGTGACAATGCACATTTCTACTATTGCCACCAGTGCACCCCCACATGGTGTTCTGTGTCCGTCACAGGCTTCTATGCCCACTGCCACTGCACAAATGCACCGATATGTGCCCTCTGCCACTGCACCATTGCATATGCCACATTCAGTTTCTGCAACAAACACTTTTTTTTTTTTTTTTTTTTTTTTTTTAGCAGTTTAAGTTCCTGAAATCATCTCTGAGCTCTGTTGTACAATACACCAAGACAAAGAGGGAGAAGAAACACAAAGCTAGCCAGGTGTGCTGCAGTGCATGGCGTGTGCTGAAAGGAGAGAACAGTCCGATTTAGTGTCAAGCCAGTTGGTATGATGTTTCTTCTTTTCACTGTCCTTTCACAGGGTGGTGAGGAGGAGACTGCAAGGAAAGGTCAGCTCCCCTCCTCTGCTAGGTAGGACTTCATTGTGCGGACGAGCTGTGTATATCTCAGGAAAGAGACAGAAATACAAATCCTCTGGCAGATAAAATGGCTCCCATATACAACTCCAGTTCTAAAAAAGTTGGGATGCTGTGTAAAATCTATATAAAAACAGATGCAATGCAAATCTCCTAAACCCAGATTTTATTTGAAATGGTAAAGCGAAAACCTATAAAATGTTTAAACTGAGAAAATATACAATTTTATATAAATAAATAAATTATATATATATATATATATATATATATATGTTTTGGGTTTTTTTTTTTTTTTTTTTTTTTATAAAAAAGGATAATTTTAAAATTGATGGCAGCAACACATCTCAAAAAAAGTTGGAAAGGGCAACAAAAAGCTGGCAAAGTAAGTGATACTGCCAGGGAAGAACATTTTTCAATGTATCAGGTTAATTCACAACAAGTCGGTAATATGACTGGGTTAATAAGTGAATGTTAGAGTATTTTAAAAGTAAAGTTGGGCAGAGGTTCACAGATCTGTAAAAAGCTGCGTCTAAAAATTGTTGAACAATTTCAGAATAATATTCCTCAATGTAAAATTGCAAAGACTTTAAATCTATCATCTACAGTATGCAATATCTAAAGATGCAGAGAATCTATAGGAATCTCTGTGGGTGAGGGACAAGACAAACTCCATATTGGATGCCCATGATCCTCAGATGGCACTGCATTAAAAGCAGACATGCATGGGCTCAGCAATACTTCTAAGAATAACTGTCTGAGAACACTGTTCACTGTGCCATTCAAAAATGCAAATGGAGCTCTATCTTGCAAAGAAGCAGCCATATTTGAATGTGATGCAGAAATGTTGTCCTATCTGTACCAAAGCTCATTTACATGGTCTGTTGCAAAATGAAAAACTGCTCCGTGGTCAATCAAATTGAAATTTTGATGTATTTTGTTTTTTTTTTTTTTTTTACCATGGGCACTGCATCCTCCAGGCTCTTTCCAGCTTATCAGTGCTAGTTCAAAAGCCTGCATCTCTGATCGTATGGGGGTGTATTAGTGCTTCATCTTCAACATTTTGGAAAGGCACCATCAATGCTGAAAGATATATCCAGGTTTTAGAGCCGCATATGCTCCCGTCCAGACTATGTCTTTTTAAGGGAAGGCCTTTCATATTTCAGCAGGACAATGCTAAACCGCATACTGCATCTTTGACAAGTTCATGGATTCAAAGTAGAAGAGTCCAGGTGCTTAACTGACCTGCCTACAATCCAGTCCTTTCATCAATTGAAAATACTTGGTGCATCTTAAAACTAATAATACAACAAAGAAGAATCAAGACAGTCAAGTAGTTAGAATCCTAAATCAAGCAAGAACGGGACAACAATCCTCTCACAAAGCTCCAGCAACTGGTCTCCTCAGTTCCCGGATGTTTACAGAGTGGTGTTTAAAAAACAAAAAAAACGGGATACTACATGGCCATGTCCCAATCCTCATTTTCAAAATTTACCTTTTTTTTTTTTTTAATTGTACATTTTTCTTAGTTTTAAACATTTGAAACGTTTTCAATTTTCTACTGTGGATGAAATATGGGTTTATGCAGTTCAGATTTTAGTGTGTGTTTTTTTTTTTTTTTTTTTTTTTTTTTAATGGTGCTTGGCTTATTCATTCTTTTAAACATGAATACACACATTCATTTTAACAGTGCTGCTTGTATGGCTAAATGGTAATCGATGGGGGTGAAATATCTTCCTTCATCACATGACTAAAATCCAAGGCATACCTCATCTGAATGTGAGGATTTTTATTAATGCTGATGTTGCAATGCTTTAATTTCAGCCAATTCCTGCTGAATCCGCTTGAGCTGTGAGTGGCCATGAAGGATTGAAAAATCAATGGAGCTGGGTGAAAATTTTTGGAGAGACAGGGACATTGAATCGGATGCAGTCGCTGTTTGAGTTTCTAGATAGCCACAAGTCTGAATACAACAGCCGTCAGCTGATGCTCCTTCATCCATGTTATTTAGTGTGGAAGAAGAAATTGTTTCTCTAATTCAGCCCTCAAGGCTGAATAATGGTAATCTAGGTGCACATGACTAGCCTAAGTATGACTGCTTCTGTCCTTCAGCAGAGGTCATGTGATAGATTATTTGGCAGGTGACCATTATTAAATCTCACTATAAAGTAGGTTTAAAGGAGTTGTAAACCTGACCTGAAATACAAACAAAGTATATCCCTCCATAGTGTGTACTTGTCTCAATGCAGAGTGTTATTTCTGTGTTATGCTGATAGCAGAAGGAGGCAGCAAACAGAAATGATTGTGGTTATCTGGACACTTCCCATTGATGGAGACCTTGCAGATCCTGAGTGGGGAGGGGGGGGGGGGGGAGGGGGGGGGGGGGGGGGGGGGGGGGGGGGGGGGGGGGGGGGGGGGGGGGGGGGGGGGGGGGGGGGGGGGGGGGGGGGGGGGGGGGGGGGGGGGGGGGGGGGGGGAGTCCAGATTGCAACAATCGTCAGCCTATAATGGAAAATCCACCAGCCAGGGACACATAATGACTTTAGGGGCTTTTTTTTTTTTTTTTTTTTAAATCAAGATGGGAGATGTTTGATTTTGATAACATTTGATGATTGGTACTCTTTAGAGGGGCTTGATTCTATCATGTGCACACCCACAAACCCCAAAAGGGCAGTGTAAGCAGTTTATCAAATATGCGTTGTTCCTACTAATGTATTTAGTAGGATGTTTTGTTGATAATGTCTGAATTGCTTTTGCTTGACTGTCATGTGTTTTCCAGAGATAAGGTTTTTTTTTTTTTTTTGCTGTGTGTCAAGTAAAAGGAAAAGGAAGTTTATGCTACACCCAGTGACATTAGACATTATTCAACAAAACGATCTGATATTATTTAAAAAAATATAAACTGGAATCCAAGTGTGTAGGTCCATCTGAAGGAGATTTGTTAACAAACCAACTGACCATCTCCATAAGATAACCGATATTCCGTAGTAGTACAAATAATGGGAGCAAAGACAAAAGGTCATTTATACTGACTTTGTGTGTTTTTTGGCTAGGAAAAGTTCCTTGTGCTTTGACCACATGTATGCTATGCCCAAAAAAGCGATTTCTGCTAGTCAGAAATCAATGGGGTGCCATAGCTAAAAGTGCTGAGAACATTGGCGCTACAGACCGCTACACAGCTAGCGCTTTCAGAAGGGGGTTAACATTCAGTATAGGTTTAGCTAGCTATTGGATGTAAGCTCCTTGTACAAATCACAATGTTCAGCTAAATCACTCTGTCCTGCCAAAGTCCCTGATTGTTCTAGTTTACAAATTTGCAAAACCTCTTTAAGTGCTCCTCAAACTGCTGATAAAACCCATCAATCATTTTTTTTTTTTTTTTTTTTTTTTTTTTTTTTCCTAGATGTATTGCAGGTTTGAGCCTTATGTCTTGCTGCATGACAACAAGGACAGATTTTGATTTCACACAATGATGCTTGATTTCAGGTGTCCCACAAAGGTGCACGCTGACCTACGTGTGACCATCGCAGCAAAGTAGCTCCTCCTTCTTTTTTAACATTTAGCTTCGCGTTTGTCTTGTGCTTTTTCTGCATGCTGCTTGCCGCATTTCGGGACCCATTACCAATGACTGATATCGCAAATGGAGCAAGCATTTTTCCATGTTGCGTGAATGCTGGCTAAATCGTGATTATTCCCCCCCCCCCCCCCCCCCCCCCCCCCCCCCAAGTATTCTGATGGCAAGATTGCATTGTTTCCCCTCTGCTACCATTCTAAGAGCCTTAACTTATGTTCCTGAGCCCTCATATTCCCAGAGCCTGGGCCCTGCCACTGTTGTACTGCAAGTTGGGTTTCTTTAGCACACAGGGATTTGACAGTCTTGTGGTCCTAAATGAAAAGTTCATGTTTGGAATTCTAATTACCATTAATATTTTTTTACCCTTAGGGTATGACTTCAGCCAGGTCTTGCAATGGTTTGCAGAACGGGTTGATCGGATTATTCTTCTCTTTGATGCCCATAAACTGGATATATCTGATGAGTTCTCAGAAGCTATTAAAGCCTTTCGGGGTCAAGATGACAAAATTCGTGTGGTGCTCAACAAGGCTGACCAAGTGGATACCCAGCAGCTGATGAGAGTCTATGGTGCCCTCATGTGGTCGTTAGGAAAGGTTATTAACACCCCAGAAGTGGTCCGTGTTTACATTGGCTCATTCTGGGCAAAGCCTCTGCAGAATACGGAGAACCGGAAACTCTTTGAAATGGAAGCCCAGGATCTCTTCCGGGATATCCAGAGCCTGCCAAGAAATGCTGCCCTCCGAAAACTAAATGATCTGATTAAGAGAGCTCGCCTTGCTAAGGTAGGATTATTGTATGTTACTTTTTTCAGAAATATAGATTTCTGATGTCTGCAGATTGGTAATGGCTACTTACAGATGCCTGGGTTTTATTATTGTATGCCCTTCTTTGGATGGGTGTGAATACTTTTTGCAGGACCTCTTGTAAGTTTTGAAGTCTGTTTCAGATAGTGTTCTAATTCCGTATATTGGAGTCACATGCTAGCCATCCCTAATGAGCACAAACACATTTTGGATTTAAAGCCTAACATAAACCAAAATATATTTGTTTTTATATTGAGCAGGTGAAGGTTTAGAACCTCTGTTAGGCTTTACCACCCGTCATCTGTATCTCTAATGGAGAGCGTTCTCATGTCCAGGCTGGGCAGGAAGTGGTGGTAAAACACTAGAATTGGGAATATTTGACCCTCTGACAGTGTGTGTATATGTCTGCCTAGGCTTCCTGTCCCAGTAACTCCTCCCCCTATTTCTTTTATGGGCACCACAGGGACAAAATGTGAAGAAAAATCTTTTTCCGTTTTTAAAGTAACTTCAGATATTTTCAGTGGTGCTTCTTTACTTTAACAAAAATGTGCCGTGCTTCACTAAGAATGCTCAAAATAAATAATATATAACTGGTGCAACCAAGTGCTAATGTAGATATCGGGTGGCAAAATAGATATTACAAAATAGAACCAATATCCATTTTGAAAACCAATATTCATAAACATATAAACAAAAAAAAATACCAAAAGTAATGTCTATATCAAAAGATATAATAAATTAAAATTATGTAGAAAAGTCCATAGATATGTGCTTCTTCAATCATGCCTAATTCCTTTTAAAATAAAATATCCCGTGCTTTTGAATTGATTTCTTATGTGAAAAAACTTGCATTTATTGTGCTCCCCTTCCAGATGTGCTCTCACCTCAAATATATGACCAAACCGTTCAGTGAGGTCATATCACGCTTGTGTCCCTTTTTGAATGGGCCAAAATGGATGGGATGGTATCCTGCTGTTTGGGGTCCTTCTCCACTCAAGCAATAGACTCCCCTTCCACGATGGTTAATAGAGGAATTATCAAATCATAGTGTATTATCTTTTTTAAAACCATTTTATTAATAAAGTAAATCACTCACATATATTGTTTTAAAAACTGAGTACACAAAATGTGTCCTCTGGAATTTTTTTTTAGTTGTGAATATCCTGAAGTATCCAGCTGGTGTCAGTATGGAACCATCGAGCGTCGTGACGTCAAAGCCCCTCCCCTACGTGTTACGCCACCGGTCACGTGGCTTCATCATGGGGAATGATTAATTGGCACACTAGTATGAGTATGTGTTGGGTGCAGGCGATTCACAATTAGCATTTCGTATCAATTACCATTCACATAGCAGCTCACAAGCTTTCACTTTTCATTTGCTTTCTTACTTTAGCTCCCCCTCCCATTTTAAAAGGGGGGATAAATGCAGGATATGAAAAGAAAAACAAACCTACATAATCACCTAGGTGGATGTAGCCTCAATCTGATGCTACATATGTCCCCTGCTGGCTCTACACGGAGAGCTGAGGGATCAAAGATCGTCGATTACTTAGTTCATAGTCATCCGTGAGCAGAGCGCCGATGACAGTCACTCTGTTCTTACCCTCCAGTGATCACTGGAATGCCAATCAGTAGAGGGAGTAGAAGCAGCTGGCAGAGACACTGGTGTACGGAGTTGGTGAGCCAGCTACTGGTTGAGAATCTGGGTGGCTCCCGACATTAAGGTCGGGATCTCTCCAGAGTCTGGATTGGCTGAGTGACGTCAGCCAGCAACAAATTTTAGGCTGAATACGGGTCATAGGAGGGCAAAATGAAGTGCCTTCCTGTGACCTACAGGAGAAATGGCCCAAAAGAGCTTTGGCCCTACTTCTAGTATTTTTACAAAATATACGGCGTCTAATTTATGAAGTGTGTGATTGACAAATAGTTTCCTGTTTCCTTCTACCAACGAATCATTTTTTTTCCCCCTCTTTTTTTGCTGTTGCATGTTAAAACAAGTAATGGAGATCCGGATTGGTTGTTAGGAGGTAAGCACCACATGTTCTTAAACATGAGGCCTTGTGGACTAACAGCTAATCCGAGGGTCCTGCACATCGCCAAAATCTCAGAGAGTCCTGCGGACTTCCTGAAGCTAATCTGTGTAATCAGCAATGGCCCGCTTTGTGTTTTTTTTAATATATATTTTTTGTGTAATATTGATCCAAATTTTTTCTCTAATAGCTTCACAAAAATGCATTGTGTTGTGTGTTTGTTTTTTTCATTACAGAAACCTCTGCATTGCCAATAATAACACAGCTAGAAGCCAAAGATGTATTTTTGTTATATACAGTTTATTTTGACTAGTAACAATAGTGACTGGTATGATTAGTATGGAGCCTGGAAATATGATATACATCACTAGTTCCTGTCCTTAAAGGAGGTCAGGAGCAGAGCCATTAGACATCATTTATAAAATAAATGACATGAATCCTCTTATTGTGAGATAACTAGACAGGGTACCAGTTCATGCATAACATTGATCTTTGCTGTTTCCTGTTTCATACTCTTGTCTGACCTTGAAAACCTGAATAACCTGTTTGGATTTGATATAGCTTTAAGAGCCTTTCCAGGAGGAAACGCCCTGTATTTTCCACCCTGAAGTAGTCAGTGTTGTATCCTGTGTTCTCATAATCACTGTGCGCTAGTGCACGGGATTACTTTCCTGAAGGGCCCATTCATACTTTAAAGTAAACCTGTGCTTTGCTTTTACTGGAGAAAACAGGTTTGTTTTAATGATTACATTCTGCTCAAATTAGTGAAGAACATGGACAGACAATGTCGTGTTTTTTTTTTTTTTGTGTTTTCTGAATTTTGTCTTAAATTGTTACTAAACCCAGGACCCTGCATTCGCTATATCTGGTCCCCCACAGTACACAGAACATGGAAATGTGACTTCTATACTTGTCCAGCTGGGTACTGGTTAATCTTGTAGAAGGAGTTTTCATTCAGCTCTTCCTGTCCTAGGAGGCTGCATAATCCTTGACAATCTGTCTGGACAACATTGATTGGCCCTGTACCGATCACATGCACCCTTCCAAAGAAAAAAAAAAAAGAAACCCCTCTAGCAATACCAAACTGAGCATGTGCAGAGTGATTCCTAGAGCTCTGTACTATCAGCAGATGGATTGGGGAAGTAGAAGGGGAGGATCAGAGAAGTCAGGATCTGCCTTTTTACACAATGTGGAGGATTAACCCCTTAGGTTTCACTTTGCGTATAACAAGTATGCTTTACTGCAAATACAGACCGATTTTTAATGTTGTGGGTTTAGTAACACTTTAATTTGACCATAAGTTGTCATGGTATTGTTTTATATTGCACTTTTTAGGTGTCAGTCGTATTGTACAAGCACGGTTTTTCTTTGTCTTGTCATGCACTGCAGTGCTGAAAAATTGTATTCAGTAGACTTTAGTGGGACCAGTGGAGCAGTGCATCGGAGGTCATGCAAAGCTTTCCAAACATAGCAGGTCAGCTGGAATGAGTCCTGTAGAAAACAATAGATTTTTAAACTGTTCTTGCCATTTTCCTGCAGTGCAAATTGCTGCAAAATGTGGCGCCTGTGATTTATCCCTCACAATACATGTCAAGGACCCTGGTAGACATCGAATTGCAAAATCATGAAAACTAAATTCTAAGCTGACTGATAAGCAGACGTGTTGATTGACTGTGGCCTTTTTGTTTCCATAGTGCTGGAGAAACAATCTGTATGGCATGCGGTCACATCTGTGTTCCTATCAGGAATACCTTTCTTGCTGTCACTTGTCATTTTGATAGGACCACATTATAATCCTTAACGATGAACTTTTAGCATCTGTGTTCTTTCAACAGAATGTGAAAAATTTCTCTTCATATCTCTTCCAGTCATGAGACATTTGAATGCGGTATTTCTGCTGGCAAAGGAAACCTGTGCTATAAGAGATATGTCGTCTAACCTCCTTCAAAAAACAATAGCGGTCTGGCCATCCTGCTAATCCAGTGACTCCACTGCTTCAGTCTTGGAGCCTGAACAAGCTTGCAGACGAGGCATTCTAGCTTAAAGTGGAGTTTCACCTAAATAAATAAAAGTCAGTAGCTATAAAAACTGTAACTGCTGACTTTTAAAATACAGACACTTACCTGTCCCTCGGTCCAGCGGTGTCCTCACCATGGCTGGTTTCACTGGCCGTCTTCTCTCCCTGGCGCCGGCATCTTCAGTGTGGGCCCCCAGCTGTGACAGCTTGCGGCTTCACAGCTGGGTGCCCAATGCGTATGCGCGAGAAGCGCTGCGCTTTTTGAATGGCCCCGTAGTCTTCTGGGACCTGTCACGTGTCCCAGAAGACTACGGGGTGGGGGACAACTTCCGCTTCCGAGTGCCTAGGCAATCGCAGCGAAAGTGGGAGCGGGTACCTCTCAAATTCGGGTACCCTCTCCCCAAAGGTGCCATCCTTAATTGGGAGTGGAGGGACAAAGGCTTAAAGCGGAACTTCCCCTTTTGGGTGGAGCTCAGCTTTAAAGGGCTGCATGCTTGAAAGTAATAAAGGCAGAACCGGTTGGGCACATAGAATTGCGAAGGTCTGCAATGGTGGTCTCTATATTAATTCCTTTGACTGTCCACTAACAACGCCAGTACACAAGACTGCAGCCCAGACACCAATCAAATGAGCACATGAAAAGGGATCTCTTATAAGTAACCATTTATCTCCTGAAAATAATATTTATTTTGTGTATGTTTACATTTTTTGTAACTAATTTTTTTACTGTCCCTAAACAATCTTCTAAATGATAGAATTAATGTGCAAGTGTATGCAGGCAGCTAAATATAGTTGAAGTACATAGTGTGTGAGCCTCCTTACTTATAACCAAAAAAAAAAGTTTGTTCCAGCTCTTTAGAGCAGAACTCTAGCATTTTCCTCCATTACATTCTTCTTTCATTCCCTTCCCCCAGCAGGGGTGTGGAAATTTT